ACCGTGTTCTTGCTTAGGGATTTCGACCTTTTCCTTTCTTTTCCTCTCTGTCCTATCGCTCTTATTAGTTGTTATAGAAAATAACGTTTATAAGGTTATGCAGCATCTGACCTCGTTTGTGTCTTAATCTCGCTCTCGGGATTGTTTAAGAACCCTCCCCGATATCAGGACAACCTGATATAACACACAATGTCAATTTAATTCAAAACTTGAAATTATTTTATATGCATTGTTTGTTCACTTTCTTTTAGTTACCATTCATACGTGTATCTTCAGGTATTGAGTATTTATATCATAAAACAATTCAGAAATGCAGACCATTTGAAAGGTAGTCCTTACTTTTTTTTTTTTTTTTAATTAAAATTATATATATATATGTTGTACCAAAATATTGTAACAGTACTGGACATTATTTTCTCTTGCAATTTTAGATGCCAAGATTTTTTCTTTTCAGAGTATTAATAATATTCTTACTGCTGGTTAAAAGCCACTTTAACCACAGACTTGAATCTAAAGAATCCTTTTGTTACAGTTACAGCATTCATGCAGACTCTTAACAAGGCAAAGAGAGGAAAGAAAATAAGATAGACCAACTCTTGTGGGTAAAACAAAACCAGTTTTAATATAAGCAAAGCAAAGCAAAGGTCCATAAGCGGAAGCAAAAAAAAAAAAGAAAACAGATTCATTCTCTACTTCCCATGAAGAGGCGATGTGGGGCCTTCTCAGGATCAGGGCTCCCATAAGCGTAGTGGTTGCCTCGGAGGACCAAGGGTGACCCCACCCCCTTCCTCCTTTCTCCCAGCTTTATCCTGAGCAGACGTCATATGGTCTGGGATATCCCTTTGGTCAGTTCAGGTCAGCTGTCCTGGCTGTGCCCCCTCCCAAGATCTCGCCCACCCCGTCCCACTGAGGGGGGAGATGTTGGAAAGAGCCTTGGTGCTGTGTAAGCACTGCTCAGCAGTAGCCACCACACCAGGGTGCTACCAACACCCTGCCAGCTCCAACATAAAACACAGCACCGTGAGGGCTGCTATAGGGGAAAACCAATTCCAGCTCCGCCAGACCCAGTACAGAGAGTGTAAAGATGGAGCCAGGCACTTCTCTGTGATGCCCAGTGACAGTATAAGAGTCAATGGGCTCAAATTATAACATAAATTTCCACCTGAGCACAAGAAAAAAAAAATGACTGTGAGTGTGGTTGCACACGGGAACAGGTTGCCCAGATAGATTCTGGAGTCTTCGTCTTGGGAGATATTCAACATCTGAATGGACATGCTTGTGGTAACATGCTCTAGCTGACTGTTTGAGCAGGGGTTTTGGACTAGGTAATCTCAAGAGGTGCCTTCCAACCTCAACTGTTCTGTGATTCTGTGATTGTTTTCTCTTGACATATAAATTTAAGGTGACTTCATATATGCTCTGAGTTTCCCTGTGAAGTAAAGAAAGAATATACAGTCCTACATTGATTTTCAGAGTACAATCTTGCCCTCTCTCTCTCTTTTGTAACTGATATGGGAACTTAAGCATCATCAGAGAACAAGTAGTCCACTTAAAATATGAAAGGCTATGAACTGAACACTATAGAGGAAGGAGATCTCTTTTCTAGACTATACTGCAAAGTCATTCTAAACAGTCTTTGGAGTAGAAGCCAAAGTCCCATGGCACCTTCCTCATTTGACAAAGTTTATTGTTAGTTCTTCAGCAATCCAGCTTCAAAAAGAAAGGATTAGGAAGTACTCTTGGCCAGGTTACACCATTGTCTTGTATTTACTATGAACTTTTGGGTTATAGGGTAAATGTCTTGAGACTGAGAAGTACATAGACCAGATGAGTTACACTTCCTTGGTGACAATATTGACATCTTACCTGAAACCACCACTGCTGAGATTTCTATGCTTTACTATCATTCCACTCAAATGCACAGGCTTACCCAAGATGTTAACTTTTCCTGAAGTGTGCATCTTATAACTTTCAAGGTCCAAATAGGTAAGGCCTGTCCTTCAGGATGATAAATGTTCATTAGCATTTTAGAAGGTCAACCGGAGTTTCATCTGAAAATGACAGGTTTACCCCACTGTTTAAACAAAACAATATCTGTGTGAATAGTAATATTTTGGGAACATAGAAATACTAATCTAGAAAACTTTCTATGTGAAGTAATTTATAATATTAAAATTCACCCCTAGATAGAAGAGCTACTGTGAAGCATCTTCCTAAATGCTTTTCAAAGATTACTGTTTAAACGAATCTCATAGGATTTTTTTTTATATACATCAAAGATGCAGTCAGTGATTTAATTCACAGTGATCTCATATGCCTAATGTGAACAGATTCTCTTAATGCACCCAGCATAACAGACACAATTTCACAAGACCCAACTAATATATTCATAGTATGTTAAAACACATCAAAACTAGATACCCCTCTGGCATGCCTCTACAGCTAAAATGCAGAAGCCAGGGGGCTTTTTAAATGCATAACATCTACATCCTTCTCTACTATACCCAGGTTCTTAGTACACATCCATCAATTTAGAAACCAGAATTGGTAAAGGAAAAAGATACCTAGTACTAGAAATAAAACCCCACATCTTTTTCCTTATCATTGTGAGAGTCCTTTTCACACTTCTATCTGCTTCAAAGCCAGATCACGTTTTTGGTATTGACCTCCTCGTTACAGTGTAAAGAAATGTATCTGTGCTGTAAAATGTACCAACTGGAAATCACAGACTATTTTAAATATTGTACAAGATGACCAATAATAATCTTTTAGCATGAATATTAAAACGTATCTCAATAGGATTGTCAGATGTAGAAATTACTTTTTTTTTTAGTCATATTCCAAAGTTACTTACTATACTTCTACAAATATTTGACAGGACATATATTTATTGCCATATATTTATTTTATTTGAATTATTTAAAGGCTTTGCACGGTAATTATTTTTATTACCCCTAATATAAATATTGATATTGATATTCATGTGAATAGTTAGACGAGAGCTACAAACAGAAAAAACATATTGCCTTAGTTGGAGTGGTGTTGTATAGAGCCAGCACTAATTTTACTATTATTAAGTTATATGATAACAAATGTAACTCTGAGATGCAATAGGTTAGATTGTTATAGGTGGTTTAGAATTAGGATTTTAGTACCTAATGTTTATATAGCTTTCTCTAGAAAAATTCAAAGACCAGTCCATAATGGCTCAATTAATTTACCCCTATCCCCTCCATCTATCATACAGACTATCCTAAGATATTTCAAATGACACTAGAATCCTGTGTTTAGGCAACTGAATCAAAGCCCAGGCTTCATTTGTACAATAGTCAAAGTCTATACAACTAGGATTTAATAAACATGCCTAAAATTAAATCATCAGCACCTGCATGGGATATCCTACTTTTCCTTTGTTACAGCTCTATACGGTCTTCTATAGGTCCTCAGCCTAATTGTCAGCCTCCTGTGGAGTTTTCAGATAGCTTATAACAGATGCACTGGTGTCACAGTTTAATGTCAGCCAGCAACGAAGTCCCACACAGCCACTCGCTCACTGCTCCACAATAGAATGGATAGTGAGAGAATCAGAAGAGTAAAAGTGAGAAAACTCATGAGTTGAGATAAAGACAGTTTAACAGGTAAAGCAAAAGGTGCATGTGCAAGCAAAGCAAAACAAGGAATTCATTCACCACTTCCCATTGGCAGGCAGGTGTTCAGCCATGTCCAGGAAAGCAGGGCTCCATCATGCATAGCAGTTACTTTGGAAGACAGCCATCTCTTTGAATGTCCCCTTCCTCCTTCTTCTTCCTCCAGCTTTTATATTGCTGAGCATAACATCATATGGGATACCCCTTTGGTCAGTTGGGGTCACCTGCCCCAGCTGTGCCCTCTCCCATTTCTTTTGCACTCCCGGTCTACTCACTGGCAGGGTGGTGTGAGAAGCAGAAAAATAACTCCATTAAGAACTGGAGTTAAAGGCCTTGTCTCTGTGTAAACACTACTCAGCAACAAACTAAACACCCTTTTATTATCAACACTGTTTTCAGCACATATCCAAAACTGTACTAGCTACTGTAAAAAAAATTAACTGTAACCAAGACAAAACCACCACAATTGGTCATGTTTAGGCAATTTCATCAAGCTTTGAATGAAATGGTTTCACAAGTGATGAAGCAGCCAGGAAAAAAAAAATATATATATATATAGTTGGTGCATTCACTGGCCTTGGAAGAACTCACTGGCCTTGATTTAGTTATAATATAAATTTCTGATGGGCTTTAAGATGTACTGGGTTATCTAAGATCGAAGCTGGAAGACATGACACAGTTGGGAGACCCATATCCTTTTGGACTGAGAAGAGAAAGCTCAGATGAAATACCCTAAGACATATGAAACAATACCATTATCCACCTGTTTGAGACACTGAATTCAGCCTTCTAGCCATGAGCCTGTTAAAGACCAAATACCCAGGCATCACATGAGCTTATGGTAACTGGCAGCTGTCTGGGATGACATTCTAAGCAGAAACAGGAGTGAGAACCTACTAGGTTTTCTCAGACCACAAGAGAATTATGTTCTGTAATATTTGCATATAAAAAGTGCATGTTGATAGAAGATTTTATTTTTATATCTTGTATAATTAAAGCACCTGCAGGGTTCATCAGTTTTTAGGTGTTATAATTTAGATATGTGACAGATTTACCATGTTAATATACAAACGTTTTAATGGATGTAATCTATATTTATTTAAACCTTAACCAATTTGACATGTTGATTTGTCCTTT